GCCAATCGTCCAATGTCCCTGTTTCTCTGGCGACACCGTTACAGTAGCCTATATTTAAAAAATGGCCAAACTTCTTTACAAGATAAGCAGGACAACGACCCACGACATGTTCCATCAACTGACCTATCGAGGGTCGTGTTACTGTAGCTCTATCGAGCCTTCACTTCTTGCAAAGCACAAATCTCAACATTCCTGCAGAAGGCCGCGTTTGCTGGTGGTTGCCACGAAAGCACGACTGTCCTTGTGAGAAGCTTGGGAAGTTGACGGCCAAGTTTTGGGTGCCCAGCTGTTAGTGATGTTGCACATTTTTCAATCTCGCAGTATACAGTACCCGGTCAATGTCCTCGCAGGGATGCGGATTGACATGTGTCAACAAGACTATTGTCATCTTGATCACCTATCCGAGATAGCCGAAGTACACGGTCGACAACCGGCTTCCATGTCGGTCTATGAATATAGGCCCTCAACCTCCTTCTGCGGCTTTGTGGATGCCGGTAAAACCGCTCATGCTTACAGCAGGAAGAGCACACTATTGGCGCGCATGTGGAGATATTATAAGACTGACAAAGCGAATATTATCCATTGGTACTCAGTAAATTTCTGGTTTATGCAGATGACGACGGCAAAAGCTAATCCGCTTATCTTGGCTTTGGTGGTGCTGTCTAGTCTTCTGAGTGTCTACATCAAGTGATTAACTAGTTAGGTCTTAGAGACCAAAGACAAAGGCGCTGCTTGTCATGGGGTGACAATAGTCTAGGGCATAGTCGCCTTATTTCGGAATATTTAGCCAGTCTTCTCCCTTTTACCCACTGATCGACTCTATCAGTTCCTTTTTTACGATCAATTACTTGACCCTTCTTTTCATAATAGTCCCTTCAGACTGATGCTCTTTGTTGCCGGGTTCAACTGGACCTCAAAATAATGTCTTATCTTCGTCTCTAGTTAACCGGTCGAACAACCACACTGACGATCATCTTACAATACTTACCATCAAAAGTCCAATCAAAACGCTCATGTACTTTCTTCCAATAGACTCCAGCTCATTATACTCAAAGCAAAAGACTTAGAGAATCGCAGAAATACACACTGCAATTCTTTGCCTTTTTATCTGCTTTCTTTCATAACCTCGGATCCACTTGCTTCGTTCCCGACTAAGTCAGTCTATATTTTAGGAGCGTTACTTCATACTCAGCTTAGGCCCCACTCTTGAGAATGTCTCTGTACTTAAGTGATGGCCTGGTCTAGCAATGAGAATCACACTCAGCGGCGCCAACAGTGCCGGAAATCTTTGGCAAACCATATGTACCACTCGCCCACGTACATTGGCAAAAGAAGTGAAGTTATCTGACCTACCAAGATAACTGACTAGACTTAAACATTCAGCCTTGGCGGTTCGGCTGCAGCTGGCCCCAGAAGATGGGTATACTTGGTCTGTCACAAATTCCAAGTCACATTTAATGAAGACCAGCGTCAGCAACGGGACCGTGGGCCTTCTAGGACGCAATATGCAAGGAGATCGGGCGGTCAATCAAGGCCGTGCGCCCATCTCGAGTTGCAGACGGAGTACTTGACTCTGACGTAGGCTATCGCCATCAAATGTTCAAAATATGGAGGGGCTAATACAGGGAGGCTGACTCAGTTGTCGTCAGACTTCGGTGAAGAGGACTCATTCACCACGATCATCGAGCTTTGTAAGGCGAGAAAACCACCAACTGCGCGAGGACATCGGCCACCTCCGAAATCATATAGAAAGGATCTCCCGGGCATCGCGAGGCTAGGAATGAAAAACGGGCAGCTGGAAAAGGACGTCATAAGGGAGCGAAACTTGATACATGACCTTAAGGAGGAACTTAGCAATGTCCGAAGCGGAGTTTGCGATGCCGTCCGTCTCCTGGTGCAGCACCAAGACTGAAAGGTCAATCAAGAGGAAGGTAGACGGGCGCATGGGTCTAACCAGGATTAACTGTACTCTTGGGGGCTCGCACGGAACATAGTAGCCAGAAATCTATTCACATTCCCGGGAAGCCCGAATGAGCTCGTAGGATGTTCGGCAGGTCGCAGGAACCTGATTGTCCATGCATTTCCTTAATACAGCAATCCATCGGCCGATCATCAGGCCTACTGGACGGATTCTTGCGAAAAGTACATATATTACCTCGTCCACAGGGTTGATAGCCCCTTCTGTGGTACCGACATGCATGTTTCGTTGCTCCCATTCCTCCAGCCACACGGACTGGCCATGTACATCCGGGGTGGGTCCTTCAAAAGCCGAGGGCTGAACGCCAGGGCATAACAGCACCCATCATCAATCGAGTTGCGTCCGAGCATTGCGGCTGACTGCAGTAGGGCTGCACTTTGCCGCACCACGGCGTGCCATATGAGATGATTGAGAAAGCTATAATAAGCCCGAGATAATTACCTGAAATGCCGATTGTTCCTTCGCCAAGGCTCTGGTTATACAGTGCACCATGCAAATCGTTGAGGCAGAGACACCGAGCATGACAGCTTCCAACAATGACAGTGATGACGATTTCCTTATGCTTTTCGGCGGATTTACAGTTTCTGAGAAACCCATCCCACCAATGTCATGGGTAGAGGATGAGCTGGCAGCAATGGACATGGACAATCTGGATCAATCTTCCCAGTGTTGCCGTGATTTACAAGAGGAATACCACTGGGACGAGCCTCTACTGAGAGACATGGCTATTGACAGGCCTTCGCAACAAGGTGGGAACCGTCTACTACGGACTACACGTCCGTTACGTGATAAGTACTGTATGTTCGGCTAAACTTGATTCTGACAATGCTATAGGAGCCGGAAGACGACGTTCTCCAAGAAACAAGTCAGCTAGAGGCGTCCAGACGCCATATATAAACTTCATCGCCAATGCACTACAGTTGGCTAATCGGCTCCGCAAAGCTCGAAGGGAGCGGAAATCCCTAAGAAGGATGAGAAAGCAATCGACTGCGGCATACGAACAACTTTCCCGTGAGATAGAGCAACTCTCGGCGATCATACAAACGAACTGGCGGGAAAGGTCATGTAACAGGAAGCGCAATAACAAGGATGTACATACCGTACAGTAGTATTTGCGAAAGTATTTATGACGCTGAGAGATAGGCAAAGGGGCTTTCTCCGGGTTCTTTTTTTTCTTCTGTTTCGCACTAGGACAACATCTGCAGTTACGGTAGTATGTAAGCAAAGAACAGATCAAGCAGCGACTACATTCTTCCATGTCCTTATTGCCCAGCCACTGTAGCATCGTGGTTAAGCTGCTTGACTCCAGATGCACAATCTTGTCATATAAGTCTACCAGCCGTCCGCCCAAAGATGGTCATATTCTTGGCTTGAGACTTCCGAAGACTTTAAGGCAGTACAGGATGGTGAGACTATCTTAGGAGGAGCTATATATTACCAGACTGGTGCTCACATACTCGTTGCATAGCTTAACCATAACGTCAAAACCGAAGGACCAACCCTGAGTGCCACTTGATTTATCATGACCATACATACCCGTCGCCTACCCACGCTCAGTCAGCTATATTCTGCGATGTCATATTTTTGCCGTAGCAGCCCGCCCACGCCGCTTGATACTGGTGAAATCAAGCTATTCGCAATTCTACGGGAAGGTTGCCCAGGACCTAGTCTAATTTGTACGGGGTCCCTGCACCTACAATACATTGGCCAGGGCCTCACATACTGGCTTGCCCCCAAATCACGTCATTGGTAATAACAACAAACAGATGATTCTTAGGAGGGCATTCATCGCTTAAGGCAAAGCGTCTGAATTGGCCACCCGCTTTCTGACTCCGTTGACCGTCAATGTCTGGATGGTCCCTTGGTTAAATGGCATGCAATAAGTGATGCATGAAATACGTGAGGTACGCAGATAGCTGTCAATACCAAAGATTCGCCCATGGTGTCATTCAACAATAGGCAAAGGGGTCAAAACGTCGACATATAAAGCACGCCTACAGCCTGCCGTCTGAGGCTGTCAATTGGGCGAACAATATGCCGTCGGTTCTCACGACTCTTCACAACCAGGCTGCCAATATCCCCTATGCTGACTGGTACGGTATAAGCCTAGCCGTTTGGCTGGGGGTGTGGCTCATCACTCGGTTCACCTTCCACCTTGGCCTATGGATTCTCCAACGGAACCTCACGGTCTCTGTCCGGCGATACGCCGGCTACCCACTACCGTCGCTCGTCCGAAGCCTGGACATGTCCACAGTCTCAGAACTATTTCTAGTCCTGCTTCTTCTCGCCGCTAATGGGTTACTCCTCGCTTTATCTACTCGTCGCTGGGCAGATATCCAACGGCGCGCAGCAAACCTCGCCGTCTTCAATCTAATCCCTTTATGCACCGGACTAACTTTTGGCCTCCCAACCCATCTACTTGGAGTTAGGCGCTCTYCCTTTGCATGGATGCACCGGTGGTTCGGCCGTATGGCAGTTGCCCACTCCCTTCTCCATGGGGCTAGCATCATCGCTGGGGCCGATGATGCAATCCACTCCATGAGGCGCCATTGCATTTCTCTTCTGGTCAGTATACAGTCATTGAAAAACGCTAGAACGTTCAATGGAACGGATCTAACTGGACGCAGGCAGCTGCTTCACTGCTTTCGATAATCCMCGTGACCCTGCATGCGATTGTCCGACGCCATAGCCAGATGGCCATAAAGCTCCATTACATCCTTGCGATCACAGCCATGGCGGCGCTGTCCTATCATACCTGGGACCTGCGCTCCAGCTGCCGCTGGTATTTGGCTGGTGCGGGGATCCTATGGGTGGTGCTGAGTGTGGCCGCTGGAGCCCACGCCATTCTTATCAAGAAGCAGTTGGGCTGTGCCTGGCCCGCCGTGACTGTACAACCTTTCCACGAGCTCCTTCGCATCGAGATTACCGTGCCGGCCCATTGGGCCCTCCAACCTGGCCAGTGGGTGTATCTCTGGTTGCCTCATGCAGGCTTCCGAACATGCTTTCAACTGCCCCTCTTTTATGTCTCCTTCTGGGACGACACGCCTAAGCAGCGCACGCTCTATATTCTGGTCCGGCCGAAGTCTGTTAGTCTCTATCAACGCCTGTATATGCGGGAGTCGCTTCATGGTCGTCAACGGTTCGCTCTACTGCTGGGGCCCTACGGTCGGTCTCTCGACTTCACCGCGTTTGGGACAATCCTATTTATTGTGGAAGATACTGCCATTGTGCGTGTGCTTCCCTTCATCCGCATGCTAGTCCTGGCAAGCGAACAACGTCGAGCGATGGTGCGAAAGTTGAGGATCGTCTGGCAAATGGATGATTTCAGTATCGTGACGCYTTCTACCCCTCCCACCCTGTCCACAATCAAATACTGACTGTCTGTATGCCACCGATGCTGGATAGCGGATTGGATGCAGGAACTGTTGGACCTCGACCGGGGTGAATTCAAGGTACCGAACCCCTGAACTGAATGAGCTATTTGTCTGACGACGAAAGATCCTGCGGTTTAGTCTATATTACCGGTTAAACAGCACAACCGACAATCCGGATGATATGCGTGGCGGGCGAATCAAATTGTGTCCAGGCTCGATGAAAGCTGGACAAGTGGCACAACACCATCTCAACAAGCGCCGAGGGAAGCTGGCCGTGGGCGGTAAGTTTATGTTGCTTCTCCTCTSTTAATCCCTATCCGACTCTGTTCTAGTAAATGACAGTCCRCTGTGCGGCYTATTTGTACGAATTAAACAATGTTAATGGATCGTCRATACATAGTATGTGCCCGGCAATCAATTCGCAGGGCAGTCCGAGAAGTGGTCCAACCTCAGACAGGGATTGACGTGAAATTGGTGKATTTCGACTTGGAGCCTTACGACGCCTGGGGAACCTCTCACTTCGAGTCCGAAGGATCACCAGAGACAGCCCAGAGCCATCACCAAAGATGGGTTGCCTCACGAATTGCGGAGGGCAATAGCAAGCTACGGTAACCTGCCATGCAATACGGGAAGYAGTACACCAGCGTACATTTGCAAGGAGCAYCAYTGGATACTGCSTGCGACAATTTCTGGTYCCACAACGCTCATCGGGACAGCAAGATGGGTGAMGTCTCGATCTGTCCGACCTTGTGTTCGGGGCCACATGTCGATCCGTAAGCTGGAAGCTCTCCCAGTCGCTTAATTCGACCATCTCGCTCAACAACCTCCTTCGCACTAGCACAGCCGGTGCGCCGTCGCGAACAGATCCCCACGGCGGGGTGTTGGACAGGGTCCTGCCAATGTCGACAATGATACGCCGGAGAGCGACGGCCGCGACACCGCTCACACCTCAGCTCCTCGATAGCACTGACCGGCTGTGTGTTGTTGTCGCTGGCAACGTTCAGTCCGGTTTTGGCTGAGCGAGATGGCCAGGTTTTGGCTGTGTTATGGTGCATGTTCGAGTTATACTCGGCAGATATTATCCCAGATTTAGTTCTGCGACGACGATGCGCACAGTTAGCAATTGGTACGAAATTTTTTTTTGAACATATCATACCCATGCCAAATGCTCAGCCAGACCCCGCGAAACCACTTCATGTTGTCATTTGAGACTAATTCGCGGAACAGGACTCTCTAGGCCCCTTTATCAAGTCGTTTTATACATCCCGCACATATTGAGGTGAAACTAACTTTAGCTGCTCGTGGGAAACTTACCAGAAGGGAAAGAGGTTGCTCATAAAAGACACTCTCCCTCACCGCCGCAGTTCGTTTTTAGGGCCCTGGAGTATATTCACCTCATCGGAATATRTGGTGTGACCGTCTTGGTATCGCCAGATACCYGGAAATATCACYGCGCGGGTGATGCTGGTAACCGTTGRCACAATTCATTTTGGATGTCTAAGAGAAGAAGGTTTACCCAAGGGGGCGGTCATAGAATGCCCTGGCATAGAATACCCTGGGCATTTCCTGGTGGCCCGTCCTCCGTGCGAAAGCCCAGCCCACTTTCCCGGATAAGTCCTCTTCTTATTTGCCCAACYTTTTTGYTGCTGCTATCACTGAATCCCRTCCAAAATCTGAATCCTCYCTTTTACATTCACCCCCTTCCTCCCCACCTTCTTACGGTCAAAAATGACCTGGATCCAGCGGAAACTTCAGCTCTACCAGTCCAGGGATTTTCACACGGGGGCGCTCTATAAAGGCGGCTCTTTTTCGTCCTTACCTTGACCGAGGACTGCACATACACCTTGAGTATTGGGCGCAGCATTCAGGTAGGTCTGCCACTCAGGATCATAAGCACAGTGAACTGACGGGCCGGGTCACCACGAAGGAAAGGGCATAAAGAGCGCTTGCTATTCAATCGACMGATCACACTCAAAGTTATACCACACCACGAAAAATCTCCGCTTTGCCTGGCATGTTGAACTGCACACGACGACTTCGAGAACAGTTTGGCAGGTTCCCTACGAGTGGRGTGGCTGTCGACTGTTAYCTATCTTCTTCTTATGACGATCCGGRATTTCTTTCCTGGAACGGTCCCAGTCTTCTATCTTCGCTCACGCGGACCGAGGATATTTTTAATTATGCCTCTGCCATGGTAGCAACCCAGATAGATTGGCTGGAGATCCATTTCTCGGTCATACACAAATACACGGGGGAATCGATCGCCGTATTGCCCTTTTTCCTTCCGCGGGTCGAACTGCCCCTAGGCAACCTGAGACAGTGTCGCGAGCAAATGTTGGAAGCGATGCACCAGTATACTCGATCCATACGTGGTGCTGATTTTCGATTTGAAGTGTTTATCTGGCCGAGTGACGGTGGGGAGCTGGGTTCCATGGGCAAGTTCGCATTCCCATGGATGACCTTGGTTGATCCTGGAAGGGCCCTGGATCCGGATCATTTTGTTGACAACATTTCCTGTAATTTCTGATGTGCCATCTTACCGTAGGTTTTTCTTTCTTTAAAAAAAAAATATCTGCCAGTTTCATTTCGGACGACTGTCTATGACTGCTTTTGACCACTTCGCCGAGTGCTTAGCGACTCGCTCAGACACGCCCATTGCAAATTGTATGTACACGCACGGAAACAACTGCAATTGTAGGACGCGATAGTACCATGCATATCTTTACTTCCAATATCAGTCGTGGGGATATGGCGTCAATGCGATGCTCCCTAGGACAGGCTGCGACCCTGACCATAGATGAATGGGCATGAATCATTGTCTATCAATCAAAGTGGCCCGTCTTCGGTTGCCCAACCACCCTCATCGTTTACCGGTAGAACCAAGAATATCTCACTGGGCGGTTCGGAGCTATTGTTGGATGACCAGTCTGACAATTAATTCAGTAGGTAACTCCGGTCAAGCGTGCGATAGCTTCGGGCAATTTGATCGCCATTGTTCGTGAGGTTACATTTTGTCCGTGTTCTACGGATGGTTGCTACAGCAGCCAGCGGCTTAGATGTCACCAGTCGTTTAGGCCTTGCAAGTTGCAAGGTTCCAGGGTTACATTTGGCTTTCAGTCAACTTGACAACAAAACATATATGGGTATATAGGACCATGCCTATGTATTATTGTGGTTGCGCTCAGTCTTGTTTTGATTCGGACTATACGAAACTATTACCTTATCACCTCATGATGACACCTCTGCCCCGCCTAAATGCTCTCCGTAAGGCATTGGCATCGACGGAGCCGAAGACCGTTCCAAGGGTCCAGTCGAGACCCTCACACTCCGAGACCTTGCCTGCGCCCACAGACATTGACTCGCATCCCGAAGAAGCCTCCGATGAGGGTGTGTCCGACCAGGCCCTTCACGAAACTGAGAAGGACGGGAAATGGGAGAAAGATAGTGCAGGAGCCATAGAGGCCTCCGAGTACCCCATCGACGTTAGTGGTAGTGAAGCGCTTACTTCGTTGATCTGTGAGTAAGTGTGACCATATTTACAATTCGTTTCAAAAATGCGTCAAGACGTATGCTGACTTGTGCTTCTAGTCTCGAGTCAAGAGTCCGGTACATTGCATCTCCAGATACCTAACAAGTCGATAGCTCCTGCAGATTTCAAGCTAACGAGTAGCGACAGAGTGCTGGAGGAGATGCTTCGGGATCAAGGATACAAAAACGATATTATACACAAAACCGCGCGCGGCATCCAGGAAACGGCCCCGGTCTCCGAAACCAAGAAGAGTTCCCGCGCATATCGCTTCTATAGCGGGAGCCAGGCTGATGGCCGCTGATATGAGGGATTGTGGAATGGAGGATGCGATGATTGAGGAGAGAGGCCGCCAGGGGAAAATAAAAACAGTGTTACTTTATCATTCCGAGCAGTAATAATTTGTTTGATGTATCATACAACATTCTGGTTTACATACCTCGCCCATTAAGGATATTAATTTACACCGATTCCTAACACAAAGTAACAGAAGGCCAACGGTGATTGTAGTGTGAGCCAGCATGTGGACGAAAATCCGCCTTGATGGGATTCTCCGTGCGCGCTCTTCCATGCTGACCGAAGCGTGGAGAGCCATGATCGGCCATGGACAGGTAGGAGCTGATTGGCGGGGTGGTTAGGYTGCGATTAGGGCTAGAAGGCCTGTTCTGCCATCGTTCTAGAACGACTGGTGGTTCAAACAGGCTTCCCCATGATCAGGAACGCCGTCATAGGCTGAACGAATCAGCTCCTTGCTCTATCGATTAAGGTTTGGTGGTTCGTCTGGGCGGGGTCGGTTTCCGGAGATCACTCCAGCCGCGCCACAAGGTTGCGTTCGCCGTAATTACAGTCAGGGGCGGTAATAAAGGATCCACTCACACCGCCTATCGGGTCGGGCTACCTGGTCMTGTTGCCATCACACGCCATAAGCTTGGACTCAAAACGAATGGCCTATACAGTTTACCTACACTGTTTGATAGGAGGATGATCAACATGAAGCAACGTAACGTAGAACCAGGATCAGAAAGCATAGCATCCTGGCGTACCTGTGATACACTGCACCATTGGCATGTTGCCTGTGATAAGTCTCTGCTATCTATTCATAAAGGATGGGAGATCTCTCCTTTCCTATGAACACCGCAACTAGAAGATAAATCAACTCGCCTTATGTTTCAATCCATCCTCGTCAAAAATCTACCCTCTCCGTTTCCCTGCCAGCCGCTTCCTCTCTCAGCTTGGGCAGTCGCGTCCCAATGTCTACCATCCGGAGCACTGATGTCTCCCGCGGATATTCAACTCCCAATCTGACCGAACAGTTCACGATCGTGTGCTTGGTTGCCATCTCTTGGTACAACGCCATTGAACTTATTGTTCTCTGCTTCGCCACCTTCAAGAAGTATGGAGGCTTCTACTTCTGGGCCCTCGTCATTTCTTCCATTAGCATCGTTCCCTTCGGCCTGGGCTATATCCTCATCATCTTCGACATCTTCCCTGGCTACTTCGCCGTGGCCGTCGAGGAGGTGGGATGGTGCGGCATGGTCACCGGGCAGTCCTTCGTCCTCTGGTCCCGGTTACATCTCGTCGTCCACTCCCGCAACGTCCTGCGCGGCACGCTGGCGATGATCATCGTCAATGCGGTTATCCTCCACACCATCGGCTGGGTTCTCGAGTTCGGCACCAACTCCAACCAGGCCTCACGCTTTACGCAGCCGTTTGATATTTTCGAGCGGGTTCAACTTATCGGGTTCTCCATCCAGGAAATCATCCTCTCAGTGATTTATACCAAGGCCGCCGCTCGGCTCCTCAAGCTCCATCCTCGGCAGCAGTTCCGCTCCGCTTTGATCCAGCTGCTGATTATCAATATCATCTTCATCCTCATGGATGCCGCCATCGTGAGCTTCCAGTACGCGGGACTGTTCCGCATTCACATCTCTTTGAAAGCGATGGTCTACAGTGTCAAGCTGAAGCTTGAGTACGCAGTCCTGGGTAAACTGGTCCATATGTCGCATTCGAACTCTGTAGCGACGGACCCGTCTGAGGCACTGAAGATGTCGCGCAGGACGAACTATCGGTCGCATGTGGAGCAGATAAGGCAAGACCGGGAGAGCCAGAGGAGTATCCTTCGGTGACGCGGATGCGACTCTCGACGGTGTGTATCTCGGGGATTGATTGCCTAAGGGTCCTCCAAGGGGGTCGTTCCCGGGCCACCATCAAAAAGCCGGACGCTTTCTGCATTTCATGGGGAAGTAAAAAGTTACCATTCTGTGGGGAGAAGTGGCGGTCAGGACGTGGTCATGTATATGACACCAAAGGCACCTGTCAAACATAAAGTCTCAAATTATAACAGCGCACAGAGCAGTTTCTGCAGTCTTGAATCAAATTTACCGGGATTAGAGTAACCATTTAATGAAGATGCAGACTACCTGAGACGCAGTACTAGCAAAAGGATCGGCGAAGATATTGTTGTGCGGTGAGGTCCAGTTCCTCTCCATGCTTCGATCCACGCAGGAACTGGTACATGCTCGCTTCTTGCGTCAGGGCTCTTTACGGTAACAACGCCTTTCCCACCATTATCGTCAATCGAAATTCAAATTACGGCCTTACCGCTAATATACGGGATTCATAGAAGACAGAGACCCTCTTTGCGTTCTTACAGAACTTGATCGTAGTCATCCGTATTCTGTCAACATGTCTGGACCCAAGATATCCTGATAAGATATTGATATGCATACAGTAAAACAGCATTCGTAGTAAATTTCAGTCTGCCTGATATAGTCTCATTTCACCCAATTCCTGGCCACCCCCCGCCTCCTAGCTGGATTATGCCATGACGAGTGGCTCATGGCTCACTGCAATGCCGTAACGCTTATGAACTGGGACGGGGCGTTGTATAGAAGCGTTGCGCGCAGGACCCATTACCTGTGGCGGATTCAGAGCGGGTGCATGGCAGTGATCCTCTTCCGACTGTAGCAAATCTGGAGAGAGATGGCGCCGCAATCTGTCGAGTGTGGTTTTGAAGTCGTCTAGGATGATAGTGTCACTAAGGCACTTAAATATAAAGCCTAACTATAGCAGCATCAGCATTACTTCTGCTAGGCATCTTGGCAGTCCTGGGTTTACCTTCCAGAAAGGTTCAATCCCCGTTGGAAACTCCAGATGGTATGCTCCAAGAACCGCGCATGTATCCACAATAGTAAAGGCGATCGAGGCAGCCATGGAAAGCAGCATGATCCCGAAGCGAGGGCTACTGAAGACTAGCTGGGTCAAAGAGCACTTGTAACCTCGCCGAATGGTGTATAGGAGAAAGCAGGTGGTAAAAATCCACCAGGGGTCTCTAAACAACTATCAGCACTGCTCAGGATGAGCTTGGGATGAGTAATGTATTCGTCAATCGCACCGGAACAGCGGCTCTAGCGGCCGAGACTTTTCAAACAAGGTCTGCCCGTAATTGAAGAACGTGAAGTTGGCAAAGATCTCCAGTATCCAGTACGGTTGAGCTACCAGCAAGCTGACCAAGTAGATTCGAGTGCCCCACGGGGTGAAAAAACCGCGAATTTTCATCCAACATATTAGGTTGTGTAGCGACCATGACATGTTGAGGCCGACCGCCGTAACCGAGAGACACCAGCCGTACGCGGGTCTATGGAAGAAGATGAAGGTTCCGTGTCCTATGGCCAAGGCAAGCTATTGCCTCTCCACGTCAGTAAAGAGGTCAGATGGTAGGGCTCGGCCCAGTGCTGGACCCCGGACAATACCTCTGCCACGATCACCTTATGCAGGAGCACGCCGCTCTTCATGTTGGCCACAGTGATGGCAATCATGAGAATGAGGGATCCGACCATGAATCCTTGCCCCCAGGCCTCCACAATCAAGACGTCTGGGTTGGCGGGGCGGTCTCCAACAGTTGGCGGCATACCTTCGCTTGTCGTTCCACAGCAAAAATGGGGAATTCAGAGCGGCCATCGCCGTGGAGGTTAGGTCGGTCTTAAAGCCATTCTATTAAAGGCAGGGTCAAGCACATGGTTCCCCGGTTCGGCATGGACAGCAGCCGGGGGACGAGGGAAATGGAGAGTGAGACCGTTACTGCAACCACGGAGCCCACGGAGCAAACGCCAACCATAAATTTCGCCACGATTTGAAAGTGGCCATTGGTAACACTCTTCCACTATGGGCTCCATGGCAGATCTTTTCCCAGTTGGTATAATGCTGTGCTGTGCTTCAGAACCGATACAACACGGCTCCAGGATCTACAAGGGTGAAGCCAGACAAATCCATGGACTTGGCGGTTTGGATTGCTTTTCTGTCTATTCTACACTCGGTATAGCCGCAATAACTGGAGCGTCGAAGACAGGACATGGCTGCCTTCGTGACTTTTTAGTGGACAAGGAGACAAAGAGACCCGAAAGAGGTGGAGAAAAGCCGCCACCGCGACGAGAGTCGGTTGCACGAAAAAGCAGTAGTCAATTCATGGCTCCGCCGCTTCTAAAAGACCTTTCGGTGAGATGATGAAAGAAAAAGGACGAGACCATGCCTTTGGGCACGCGCAAACCGGTAGTCCTGGATGTCCGGTCAGGTTACTAGAGTATCCGTTTGGAAAGGAGCTGATGTTGATGTTTCTCCGCGCGGCAGGGGCATCGAAATCTGAAACCCAGTGTTCTGGTGAACTGCAGCTCTACAGGGGATATAAATTTGCCTGTCGCTCAGAGGTACTGTACCTTGTCTCCTGGAATCAAGTAACTATGGTCTCCAATCATTCTTCTCACTATTCTCTATCTCTACGTGCGTATTGGAACCTGCTCTTCTGACGGATTACGATGCATAAGAACAACCATATGAGCGACGGCCATGTCCGGACAAAGGGTGAGTGTTTGTACTGATCAACTGACATCTGGTAGTTGACAATATCCGACCCAGCTCCGAGTGCACGATACCAAAAACCGAGAAATATACCAACGCCGGCCAGGTCATCTAGATCTCGGGTTCAGGTACTCTTCCGTGAGATGCACGATGAAGTTTACAGGCTTGAGTGGTGGAACCATCATTTACGTCAAGAAAACAGTCAACTGCAGGAATGGTGTCAACGTGCTAGAAAGCTTCTAGAAACCCAATTGAACAGGTCTTCCAGTGAAGTTGTCGGAAGTAACCAGGAGCACACTAGATGCGACGGGTGTGGGTTAACGTCGCCTGATATTCATCTTGCCATTTGTTTCCATCGTTTCTGTCCGGCGTGCGGTGGTGGTCAAGTACAGGGCGCTGCACATGATGTCATTCGGTTTTGCAAGCTCTGCTTTCCTTCAGGGCTCCCACAGCCGGAGTGTACCTAGATGTATCTAATTGCCATGACCACTACAACTACCGCCTCTGATCAGGGTATCTGGAGTCTCTATTCCGTAGAAACTCTGTTAAGCGGTTGGAAACAGCAGTGGTGGGCGGCTTTGAAATATGCATGCTAAATGACAGGGGCTACTATAACGCTCCGGTGCTTTTCATTCCTCCTCCAGATCCACCTGCCCGATTAAGGTGGGTCAGGCAATGCCGGAAGGCAGGAAGAAAGAGGAGAGACGGGGGTGGGATTAGAAATGGATCAACACCGATTAAACCTATTACGTTCCCACTCCAGACCCTTCTTAGTTTCTGTGCTACCTTGGATGAGTGATTTTTCTTTCGGCCTGCTCAGTTTCCCCGGTCCATCACAAAGCGGCCAAAACCCACTTGGTCGTGCCTTTGACAATTCAGATTGCGTGGCTACTGAGTACATGAAAAGATTCTCAATCAATGACCCTACTTTGATGTAACCGTCACATATTGTTAATTTTCCTTGAAAGCCCCGTAGAACGTGGCAGGTATCCAGTCAAGCCGGGCAGGTGACTACGACGTAATAGACGTTGTGAAACAGACATAGCCCGCTCCAACCAGGGGATCTGTCGAAAACCCCGTGTCAGAAAAATCACCAGGACCGGTGAAGCTTGATTCCGTTCATCTTCAATGTTACCGCATCAACGGCGATGGCGCTGTCAGTGTCCGGGACTGGCTCGATAGCTGATCAACAGTCTACAGAAGTAGATGGTTGCCAATCTAAGTCGGAAAGATAGGCTAAAGGGGCGGCCTGACTCTGAGACTCAGCGCGGCCATCGACAGTCGCAGCTATAACCTGGGGACACACGATTGTACGTTAGTGTGAATGGTGGAGTATACTAAGTCAAGCCAATGTCTCTGTTTTCTAGGGTTACTGCGAAGAGATGTTTCTGATTGTGAAACGGCCACTCTTAAGCGAGCAGGCAGGCATAATTCACTCCGTCTGGGATATTATGGGCATTCGCGACGAATACATACGCAGCATAAAGTAAACCAGAGGCCTGTTATTTCGTCTGCCTCTATCTTTGTCCGCTGGTGTTCCATTCCTTTGCAGTTGGCTACGCTTCACAGACCCGACAGCCCTTACAAAAGTTGTCTGGCTTCGTTCCCTCGTTGGCCTCGATCCCTTCCTTAATCTCTTCACTCAAGAGGTCCGCCATGGGGTGGGAACCCAGTATCAACGCCGACTCTAAACCGCAGCCTTCATATACCCCGGCGAGCATATGGTGGGCATGCTGGGCAGGTACCTGGACTGCCGTTGTGGCGTCTGGCATGGCCTATCTCATTGCCCATCGGAAAACACCGACCCTCCGCATCCGAGGGATTGGTTTGTCGCTGTCTTCTGTCGCACTCCTTCATGTTTACTGGACGGTCGTCCAATTCGGAATGATGATCGGTGTCATTATGCCTGAAGACGCCGAGTACTGGATCATGGGCACCTATTTGCCTTGCGGTATCGCCCTGTTTCACGCTTCGAACAGCCGGTTTCTGCACGTCGCGAAGCGGCAACAGAAATATGCTGATCGTAGTAGCCGAGTCCTCGACTCTCCTGCGGACTCAGAGCGAGAAGTTGGCGTGGTCAGCCGCTTCTGTCGCCTCCAATATACCACCAGGGCCCTCGTCCTCACTTCCGTTGCAATACTCGTTCAGGTGCGCTTTTCGTGACCTTCCCCGTATCTGGCGATGCCATCTAACCAGTCGCCTAGCTGTTCCTCACCGTCTTGATGTGGATACTCTCCCGCAAGCAACACCACCCCGGCAATGGACTTGTCACTGAAGTTCACGGTGCCAAAATACAGCAGAAGTCAGGCATTGGTCTGTGCTGGAAGTGGTAAGCGCCAAACGGGTGACGTTGTGACTGTCCGCTCATAGTGGAGTCCTAACCTATAGTTAGGTGGCCCAGTGTGTTAGGGCAGTTCTTTTGGTCCTGGGTCGTTGCTCCGATCATTCTCTGGAAATCCCGCAATATTCACGACACCCAGGGTTGGCGGATTCAGACTATTGGCTGCGCAGTTGCCAGGTGAGTAGAGCAGTTGATGAAGAGATGATTTTCCTGACGGGTCATGCAGCCTTCCCGCGACGCCGATGTGGCTCATCGCCATCTACGTTCCCGCCATGGAGTCCATTAACCGGTACTGGCTGCCTCCACAGTGGTAAGCTTACCCGTACGTACAACTAGAGTGCTATTTTCCTGATGCCATTGCAGGATTTGTCTTTCCATTTGGTTCCTGGAAGTATTCACCATCCTTCTTCCCTGCACGGTGGTAATGCGCCAGCGCTCTCTCCGTGAAGGAATGTCCGACTCATTCACACAGTGGGAGCCAGAAAACGAGACCTCTGGCGCTGAAGGCAACTCTCTTAGTTCTGCGTCTACTTTGGTGCAGTCCGTGACGTCAGGCTGGAAATCCCCCAATGCCTTTACGGAATCCAACCCCAACTCGCTGAACAGCATGCTGAGCATGAGTGCTCTTGAGCACCTCCTGAAGCACAATCCGGTCCCGCTTCAGACTTTCTGTTCTCTCCACGATTTTTCTGGTGAGAACGTTGCGTTTCTTACGAGTGTCGCCAGGTGGAAAACCTCGCTGCCCCCGGCGTGCTGGGATCACACTACTTTGACGGACGACAATGTCCAGCATTTGGTACAAGAACAATTTTACAGGGCCTTGTGCATCTATGTAAAATTTGTTAGTGTCCGCCATGCTGAGTTCCCCGTGAATATCTCTTCGCAAGATCTCAAGGCTCTCGGACATATTTTCGATGCTCCCGCTCAGGCCCTGTATGGGAGCGGGCGTAGGGTTGATCCCGCCATACCATTCACTATTTCGGATTCTGATCCCGAACCTCCGGTGTCCCCGGAAGGCTGTGAGATGGCCATCCTAAGGACCGCGTCCTCCGTCAATGGCCGCTCGCAGTACTGGAGTGGGATTCCGGAGACGTTCAGTGCCAGGGTCTTTGACCGCGCGGAGGAGAGTATCAAGTACCTCATCTTCACCAACACGTGGCCTAAGTTTGTCCGCAGCGGTGGGATATTCGCACGCTCGTCGGCTGCGGAGTAGGTGGCTGGCGGGCCTGATTAGTGTGAGGTTGACTGTCCGGCATGATGCATGATAAGAGATTTGTTGTACTCGTGGTTCCAAAACCGCTTTCACTCTTTTGGCCGAATTCGATAGAACCTGTATCCTAACGCCTAATACATTGGATTCGTATTATCTCGTAAAGATATTAGTTGCCCAGGCTTTTCTACGGTCCACAAAGGATTCAGTTCATCAAACGGAACAGTACGTAAACAGGCCACTTTTCCCGGTGCTTAATGGGTAGAGCATGAACGTCCGCAGTCCACCAAATTGTGCGGTGCAAGGGAACTTGAATGTTGCCAACCATACGAGCAAACTTTTCGCCCACTTGGAGTTAGATGTGTTCCCAACTTTGTCAGGACGCACCATCTACCCGGCGAGCCTCAGTGCTTCTTCCATTTACTCGTCTTACACAAGGACGACACTCCATAACGATATCTCCTTAAGTAGCCTGGTGGAATGAAGAAATATACTGGCTTTTCCTGCAGTCGGGCATCTTTGGGGAGTAACTTTTTTTTTGCAATAGATGGTTTCTGTAGTTATTGTTGTCACCCAGAGGATGCTCAGGGCGTGCCCACCGAAAGAATGAGCGGTTAATATAATCACTGAACCAGCTATGCTTCGCAATAGTCTTTGGTGGAAGGACTATGCTGTGGCGTGGAAAGGTGCGGGTTTCGCTCGGGTACCATATCGTACATGACCAACCTGTCAACCAAACACCTTGTCCCAGTTGTAAACGGCAGTATCCCGAAATCCTATAATTGTATTTATTTGTCATCTCTACACGGTAGTGCTTTATGGTATAACTCGCAGTCCGCGGTTGCGCATCGAGTCTCTCATAAGATCAACCCAAGTGGCTTGAGATGAGCTTCTGTGACTCTTCAAGGTGAATATCGGATGTATCCCTTTCCTGGACGGACAACTGACGGATTTCCAGCTTTGGAAGAATGCCTCGCAAGAAGAAAGAACCATGTGTGGATTTAGTGCCAGCGGAGCTATTGACACAGCTGAGCTCTGCGGGTTTACCGTTTCCCGCGCAACATCGTATCTTGGTAGTATTGCAGCGACGCTTGGAGCGTTCTGTGTTCGAGTTCATACGGACATGGCACCCCCGGCTCAGCAAATCGAAGCGGTGGGATTGTGCAGAGAAAGTGGAATTGCATACCGCATTCCGGGCTCTGGAACGCAAGCTCTGGGCCCTCCCCAACTCAGAGCATCGAGAACGTCGCACGAATAATGGCTTCAGCCGCTTGCGTCCCGATATCATGGGTATTCGACACGCAGCAGTTCACCGGCAACCGCACGCTCACGGCCGCCTTCTACAACAGCTACGTTCGGCTCATGAGTTTGCCACCGTATGGTTGAACGATCAGCAATGTGGACGGGAAATCCAGCAATGCCAAGGGCGTGTAGGCCTTCTTTTTGAGGAATGGAACGGACGTACTCGTCGTGTCACAGAGAACCTTATCGCGCGTATGGACTACCACAACGGCGCTCATAAGGGACCTATACGGAATCGTTACCGATATCTTCTGTGTGAGGCGGCGCGGAGACTGTTGGACAAGATTAATCTTGACTGCATCAAGCAGGTGGACGATATGTTACACGCGAGCTTTCCGCCCTTGGATAAATAGCCTTAAGAAGAGAAGCCACTCTATGCCATGTCTAACGGGAGCAGGCTACGATGAGTGGAGATCTTTGGGGAGCGGCTTAAGCACATGAACGCAATAAGGTATTAGTCTAAGGCAATAGGGAGTAACGGAAACTTCGTTCGACTCAAAAAGCTAACCGTTTCATCCCGGACAGCGCGTTAAATGTAGACTCGAAGTGAGCGTTGCCGGGTCCCTTGGAGCGTATCACGCTATGATGGCATGGGACATTAGCAGCTCCCGGTTAGAAACACTCGATAAGTCCTATCAAAGAGCCCACCGTGTCACAACGCACTAGATAATGGTCGCTGTAAGTCGATCGTGACCGGCGCCAGTGGTGACTGGTTGGACTGACATTGACGCTCTGTACAGGGAGTATATCCGTCAAATGTTGCACCTTGATGTGGGTGGGGCCAACGCTGTACGAACCTAAGTAACTTTGTTGATTCCCCTGCTCATGCGTGAGCGACGTAGCATATTGCGGTGGCAAGTACATAGCATAAACTTCCTGACGTTGGTCAGGCGAGTGTTCCTATCACGAGTACCCGTGACATCCTGGAGTAATTGCAGCTCCAGAGATGCGAGTTCTCGTACGGCTAGGCTCACAGAGTGCCCACAGGGATTTCCATCGTTCGATATCCAAATACACCTCTCGCGGTGTAAGGGATCTCCGAGGGAGACAATATCAGCTTGACTGGTCATGGCCGGATTGGAAGAGTAATAACCCGTGGGAAAACAGAGAAAGGCGTGGTGAGTAACGTGGGGTGATTGTGAGGCACATCGTCATATATAAGTTTGGCTATTGTATATAACCCCTCATTACCTCCAGATATAGCATCCTCTCCGGCACCCCTGAATTGGCGACAAATGCAGGCATGGTGCACGAGTTTCTGGAAAGCGGAGAATCGTTCATGGGAGCGGGTAACTTCGTAGAAACGTCGCCCAGGTTCCTGAGAACACCCAACGTAATCCCATGAACACTGGTAACATTCATGAGATCCCCCAAACGCCCAGGAACTGACGGTTGACACTGGGTAATCGGTGACTTTATGGCCCGGCTTTCGCCTGTGTATTGGCAATGTATGTGTCGCTCAATTAAAATGGCCTAAAGGACGCTTCACGCCCCCGCTGCACCACAGCCAGTCCATCTACAGCGTCAACGACGGACGGGCAAGTAAACGAAAGGAGATAGCCTTAGGAAGTAGGTAGGAGGACAGCGTCGTATCTCCGGAGATTTCAGTATTACACGAGTTTTCCAGAACCACAGTGGTCGATAACGACTTTCCCATAAAAGCAATCCCTTCTACGGGTGAGGCAGCTACGGCAATCCACGCAAGTTGTTCTTCCTTGGCCGCTTCTCATTAGAGCAGCAGTTCGGACTGAGGTGCTCTCACTGACTTCAAGATCTATTTCCCCTGGAGCCATGGCTGTGCGAGACTCATGGTCTGTGGGGGATAACGCACGCACGATGGCCCATATTGTGTTCAGAGTGGAGAAGCCATGTCGCAGAGTTCAGAAGTCAAAGACAAGGATATGAGAAACAGTCCATTTCAAGCGTTACAGTACCCGACCGCACTGGCAGTCTTTGCATTCTTCTTCAATCAGTCTGGGTGCCTTACAAGGTAAGCGTCACTAAGAACTGAGCTATTGTTCAGGAAGTGAACGAAAAACGCTTATGGATGGCAGCCTGCTCCCAGAGCCAACAATAGGATATAATGCTTGCTACTGCCACAAATACAGGCCATACCCCTGAAATCTCCGTGGGCCGTTGACCATATGCACATCTCACACGTACAGCCGAGTGTTACAAACGTAAGCTAATCAGATATGGCCACTGCGTAATGTAGGCGGCATCACCGATACCCACAACCAGTCGCGGAGCCATTGGCGCTGAACTGGCCGCTTGGATCACAAGCTCGGGTACCGGTAGAGCGCGTGCCTGGTGACAACTAGGCCATGAAGTCCCAGATGCCTTGAGCATACCAGATATTGTTGAAGACGAGCAACAGATGCATTATGTAGAGGCTTGGCTTCCAGTTCCCTACCACCCCGAGACTCTCGGGGACTCTTGCTAGATAGCAGACAGCCCCTAACAAGTTCCATCCCGTGAGTCGTACAAGGTTAATAGCCAGTGATGGAGGGTTTACCCCAGGCTGACACAGGGCCTGAATCGCAGGCGCCAATGCCAAGAGCCCGAGCCAGACGCAGTCAAGGCGGAAGTGGCTGGCATTATCAGACTCATCCGAATGCCGAGCGAACATCGTGGTGATCCTTCCGACTGTCAAAATGGCCAAACAAAAGAAGTAGCCAGACCGCAAATAGCTGTGCTGCTTATATGCGAAGACCACGTAGGGGATTGTCGTGGTATAGATGAGCGCCAGAGTACCGGCCATCTCCAATCTTTGCCAGTATGCCGCGTTGTCTCCAAAGAATATCCACAATGTTCGATAAATCAGGCTGCATAGGCTCCAGAGTAACACGCCTACGCAGTAAAAAGTGATAACCTGTGCTCTGTGGATCGTGTTTGGAGATGTAGGAAAATTTTGAAGGAGGAACGAAACCAGGAAGAAGATAAAATATGATATTCCGAATAGGTGTATCAAAACAACAACAGTGCCATCTCGATACCTGTTCGAAAGATTGATTTCCATCTTGCGTTACAGTACGCAAACAAAAGATCGCACGGTTGTTATTTTATTTTGAGAGACTGACCTCAAGGCAGTATATCACGGTATCCTTTAAATAGCTACAGAGATCGTGGACGTTCTGTGCGCTAACTCAGTGGATACTGGTAGTGATAGATACGCTTCACCAGGGGGTGACTTGACCAGTGCTAGGCAGTACCAGTGAAATCGGTTGGCTGTGTAATATCTCTGGTTGGCATAGTACATGCCCATCTCGGGCGTCAAGAGCGGTGGGTCGCATTATTGGCATTCAAAGCCTGTTAACCTGACCCGTATCCGGAGTTGACTTGATCATTGGGATTACTGGGGATGAATACCCAAGGGGCCAAGTGCAACTTCATTCGGGTTCCAGCAATTTGAGGGCTCTTCTTCCCGAGAACTGTAAAGCTTTCCAGCCCTTCCACTGCAGTCATTGCAAAAACAACCACTTTTTGGTTCACTGCATTCCCCTCGCCATTTCCCAGTGTCATTTATTTTCTAATTTGCCAGCCTCCGCTCTGATGACCTGGTGCATCAAATTTTTATCCTATTCAGTGTCCCCTGCTCGGAGGATGAGATCATCCAAGCACGCTCGACCCTCCAGCATAACAMTACTCAAGGCTTGTTCTGGGCCTGTTTGTCTAGAAAAATGGACGGGTCCAGTTGCCATCCCTTGTCGAATGGCAGCATCCTCATCAAACATTTTTCCCATCTTATTCATTTCTGAGGGTGGACTGTGCGCGGCTGGCTGACTGTGCAGCTCGACTCCTTTATAGAGATATATAAGGCGGAGGGTCACCGATTCGATTCCTGTCAGGCAACCATGGCCGTCTGGTTGGATTTGGCGCATGACACCACGGGCTGGTCCCTGGTTGATACGGGGCGGATGGATGAAATCGTGCAGGGAATGGCCCATCCGACCACTCAGTACCCTTCCCTTCTTTCCTTTCTGGGAAACGACAATCGCATGGCAGCACTGCGCTCTCTTTTTCCGCATAATAATGTTAGGCGCCGAGGCTCAGCTGGCCTGATCCGGCTACACCTCTGTACCACTACGTCCCACACTGAATACCCCGTCCTGTTCGCGGAGGCTAGTCTCCAGGATTTACCTGATATGGGTAAATGGTCGGTCTTCCCGTCTATGGATGGCTTACGGAGATACCCCTTTCAAAGCAACCACTTTAAAAGCACCACCAAAATCGTGCATCATCTGCTGACGAGACTCATATTTCCATGGACACACGTCGTGTGTCTTTTTGTGGACAGCATGCGGGAGTTGAAGATGGCGAGACGCCTTCTGGAGGAATCGCAAACCAGCTTACAAGCTGGAGAACATTCAGCAGCGTCCACTCGCATGCGACTTATTGTGGTCCTCACGAGTCCAACCGCTGTCCATGAAACAGACCTCTTGGCAATGATCAAATCCGACCTGAGGGCGGTGGATGCAGCGGTGCACACAGTATCAATTCTGGACCTGCGCAACCGCCATCAGCTGTCTGGCCCGGCGTTCTTTGGGCCCTTGCAGTGCCAGCTCCGAGACGAACTCCAGCAGAGCCGGACTGAGCGCCTTCAGCATGGGATGCTCTTCTCGGCTGTCCATCTGAATTTCCTCTGGCACCGGTCACTTCTGCCCGGACTTCTGCACGGAGGCCCGCATCACGTCAACTGTCTCCGCCGCGCTCGAGAAAAACTGCCGGTCAATAAAATGTTCACTACCGGTTTGGCGGAGTTGCTGGATCAAGCATCCAAAAATGAGTGGCCGGTCGGTGACGTCCATGCTTTTGTGGCGTCAGCTCTTTTGATGGACGCCTATCCTCCGGGTATGCATCGTAAGTGAGATCCTCGCTGGTCAGCCTTTGCAACGACGGCTGATGCCGACACAGCAGGTTTTGGCTGACGGGAACAGTGTTCCGGCCTKAACATGTCTTCGACGATTTGTATCGAGACTTGTGCCACGCCGCATGGGGCACCCATGGTGACCTAGACCCGGAGCATCACTGTGCCGCTATTCGCGATAGTTTCGTTGACACTTTTTCCCATATGAGCCCACAGCGATCCTCCCTCGTGATTCGGAGGGACACACTAATGCGCTTTGGAATACGATGGTCGGGTTGGGATTTGCCAACCGCCTGTCTTTTCTGTCTTTGCCGATTGGCGGAACACCAACTCCCCTGTCGGCATGCAATTTGCGATACCTGCGTAACGATCTTTGGACGGCCGACGTGTGGCGCGGAATATCACCAGGACCTTCTCCGGTGTCCCCTGTGTCAGAAATCTTCTCAACTCACAGTCCGCCAGTTGCCACCCACAAAACGCCCGGTCGTGGTCACTCTGGATGGGGGTGGGATTCGGGGGATGATCACATTGGGCCTTTTGCTGGCCCTCGAGAGGCGGCTGGCAGGAGCGGTAACCACCGTCGCGGAGATCGCTGATCTAATTGCAGGGACCAGTGTTGGTACGTATGACTCCCACATGCTTCGTTTCCACTCCGCTTCACCACCTGTGGCGATGTGGAGGCCTCCACTGCTGTGCTGATGATCGAGGTCAGGTGCCGTGATTGGAACAGATCTTGTCTACAACAACACCTCGGCCGCAGAGGCCTACGAGAAATTTCCCGATTTTGCGCGAAAGGCGTTTCAGCCAGCCTGTGGCGTGCTCGAGAAATGGCACTGGCTGCGATTTGCCATGGCCCTTCTCAAAGATGGATCTTATGACTCGAGTGCCTTAGACCGAACCATCCAAAACGTCTGTCAACGAGGGCGCCGACTGTTCGATGTGATGGCGCCATCGACTGCAGGGCGTCGTCTGGCAATCGTAGTCAGTCGGATCTCTGATGGCAAGCCCCGTGTCTTCACTAATTACCGTGGCGTGGGACGCACAGTCGCCAATCCCACGTCGCAGGCTACGGTATCACCGGATCTGAGCCAGAACCCATTGCTTTGGGAAGTGTGAGTTCTTCCCTTCTCTACTTTCGCACTGTGCTTTCTTTGGGTTCGACTGATGAAACTAGTGTTCGATGCAGTGTTGCAGCTCCCTGGTATGACCCATTCCAGTCTAGCGCCCGCTTTCCCGATTGCGTCACTGACTTTGGCCAGGTTCTTCCAGTGCAAGTACCTACCCGAGTTCGGCACCTTACAGGATGGAGGGGTCCGAGCCAATAACCCTTTTGGCATTGCGCAAGAGGAATGTCGAATCATCTGGCCCTCCGCGCAGACATTTGACCTTCTGGTTTCCGTCGGGACGGGACATGTCCCGTCTGTCGCTGAGGAACACATTCTGGGTCCGCACCCTCGCGGCATCTTTCAGGACAGGGCTCCTTTACGCTTGTGGCGTGCGTATAATTCGTCCCCCTGTATGGATGGTGCAGAATCCTTCAAGGAAGGACTCCATCACGTGCCCTATTCCATGCGTTCTCGCATCTTCCGGCTAGATCACGCCGTCGCTGGAGATCTACCCCGCCTAGACGATATAGCGAGATTGGCAGAGCTTGCCGAGTTATCGTACACGGTGCCGGACGAGCTCGTACGAGCAATACTGGCCTCATCCTTCTTCTTTGAGTTGGATGAAGCTCCAATAAGGCTACACGGCCAGTACCATTGTCGTGGATCGGTCCTGTGTGCTCGGAACMAGGCACGGTTGATGCTGAAGCGCGTTCTAGTGGAGTTTCCGGGCGCCGAAATCCACACCAACCGCGGCGATCACCTGGGGAAGGTGGAGGACGATGACGGGTGCAGTATTTGTGGATATTACCGTAAAGGGGTAAGATTCAGCGTGGCAAGTCTCGATGAAGAAATGTCGATCCTATTCACCGGCTCCTCTCACCAGCACCCAATCGGCGGATTTCCAGGCACCGTACAACAATTCCTTGACAACCAACAAGCGGATGCTGTATTTGGGCGAGCTGACCATCAAACTAATCGGTGGCCACCACAACGGATGTGTTATTGCTCAAGAGGCGTCAAGCGCGTTCGGTTTCTCGAAGCATCGCCGCACCGGAAAAGACGACGACATTAGCGCAGAGGCAGTCGTTTCATATATCAGCCGATAGGAATTAGCTCTACATATCAAAAATGCACTAAACTAAACAACTCCAAGACTCCTTTGCTTTTCGTAGGGAATACCTCTGCGATAATACTGTTACGTGATTTGCAGCATCTGTGGTCAAGATAAACCCACTCGTCCACTTGCGGTGTACAGTCTTGAGATGGGTTTCCGTGCTCTTATCATGGAGACATTTCTCAGGTCTAGTGCCAAGGCTAATCAATTTCTAGTCCATTCTTAGACGGTGCTGAGCCTTCCAAACCGCTAAGTGATGTCAAACTTCACTGTAGCTGAGTCGCAGCAATCAAAAGAGAGTGATGATCCGTAAATAGCCTGCATTGTCCAGCCTCTAATGAAACAGAAAACTTCTTCACGTCAAAGAGACCACAACCAGTTCGCCCTCAACAGGTCTAGAGCCTCAATCGGCAGCCTCTCGGAATACCACGGAGCAAAACATTAGGTGGATGGGCGGCTGTCCGATACGATCGTCCTTAGCGATGACCCTCAATCCGCTTCCTTCGTCCTTTTTGATGCAACATAGCCATTCATGGGTCAGATTCTTAGGAAAGCCTAAGGAGTGAACGGGGTGCCACACATTACGCGCTTGTGTCTCACATATCATCACACACGTCACTGGTAGCAAATTGTACCATTGTGGTCTCCAACGGCTCCTCGCAGAAAAGCGAAAACATCTCCGTCTGAGACCACGGAGTTACGGTCTTCACCATTTTCGGAATGCAGAGCACTACTCGTTGATTCTGGTAAGGCAAGGAACCCCTCTCTCTCCGATCCGCTGAGCATGGGAAGAAACCACGTTATCACGCAAACAACAGTAGGTGTACCGGACAGACAAACACGGAAATACTCTCCGGTTGTTCAGCAGTCAGGAAGACTTATCCATTGTACTGTAACTGCGAGTATCCAGGGTCTCCCTCGTATACCAATGAAAAGCACGCATCCCCTGATTCAAGCCACCGACGGAAGCAAATACGTGGACCTAACGGTCTGCCCACGGGCGTTTGCTAACCAAGCACTCTCTGGCTGGCCCGATTTGAACCCTGAGAAATAAAATATCTAGTCTCCTGGTCAACAGAGTTTTCCTGGTTGCTTGGTGCACTTCACTGCAACCATCAACCATCCCTTTTGCCCATCCGGGGAAATGCCATTTTGACCGCACCGGGCCCCTCGACTTGCGTTATAATCTTAGCAGTATGTGCAAGGACGCAAAGGTTGGCCGGGCGTGTTCTTAGCCATCAAATATCAACCGTGTGCAGCTACCTGATACTAGGCTCGAAGAGTGCTTCTCGCCCCTTCCGCAGAATGGTGAAGCTTTCCAAAATTTGAGGGCTTGAGTCTCAGTCCACCCTCAATATATGGAAGGTCGTTAATCGGGCCGCTGCCCTCACGACTGCACAGCTAGAGCAACCAAGTGGGAATTGTTATGTCCGGCTTCTACGTGATCTGTCTAGTCCCTCCCCGTCATGGATATTAATAGCCAAGTCATCGCGGTTCTTAGGATCGACCTCGTCAGACGACATGCAATCATCCCGCCAAGCTCGCATCGAATCAGAGGAGAAGGCGCTGGAGACCTACCGAAAGCAGCGCTATCATGGCAGCGCTCGGGTACGCCTGGATTGCCTTACTTTCGAAAAAGGCTTCAGTCATTTAATGGACGACGGCAGCAATGCCATGCGACTGGAGCGAATTCTTGAGCTGCAAGGATGCCTCCGCATCAACCGAGATTACCATGTACCGGTTCTAGTGGATGCTGCAGACTGGGGACACCGAATTTCTCTGTGTCAGATTGACGGTGAGCCGTTTCCTGAATTGACGGTCCCATTGGATATGTCGCTTCGCGCCCAAGGCCACGAGAACATCATTACTGCAGCACGAA